AAAACTGGGATTAGGACCAGATATGCCCTGAAAGCAATGCCAGCACTAATCTTCCCTTGACATAGTCTGAAATAGGCTGGCTAATATCTCCAGAGGGTATCCAGACCTGGTTCCCAAAACCTGTGAATATGTTACCATACATGGTAAAAATGGACTTTTCACACTTGATTATATTGAGTGTGTGTGTGTGAGTGTGGTATGTGTGTGTTTCATATTCCAATTAATTTAATTAGAGTTATTCATAGGACCATAGACAGCTTACCAGTGGCTACCCCATTGAAGAAACTGCCTCTCCATCTCCTAGCAGCCAAGTGCTTCTAGGTCTTTAGGAAAATGAGGGGCCTCATAGATAAGGATCTTGAGATGGGAGATCATTATAGTTTACTTAAGTGGAATCTTACATAGTCATAAGAGGTCAAAATCAGAGGCTATGTAATGCCAGAGGCAGAGCCAAATATTAAAAATGCTCTGTAACTAGCATGGAAGGTGAACAAGGAGTCCCCGAGTCAATGAATGTAGACATGGTCTTGACAAAGAAGTGGGTCTTCCTTGAGGACCCTCAGACAGAACCTGCCCTCAGCGGCTCATTTTCAACCTTTGACCTGAGACCTTCAAGATAATGAATTTGTGTTGTTTTTGTTAAATTAGGTGCAACTTGTGTGGAAAGAGGGGATTGATAGTGCACACCTTGCTTAATAGTAGTGAGTCTCAGCACCCTCCCCGCAGGGCATGCACTTATTCAGCCAATCTCCAATTGCTGAAAAGGTAACCACTTGCCCTGGTTATTCCCCATACTAAGGGTGCCTAGGGAGGCAGCTGGAAATGGTGGAAAACTACACCCTGAAGAAACACAGAACATGGACTTTTAGCTAATCAGGGTTTGCTTGTTTGGTTTCTCGGTGAGAGTATCACCTGGTAAGAGTGTTCTTTCACCCCTTCTACATCTAAAGTCTTACAACTCTTGAATTTGAAATGTAAATCTGGGCTGGAGAGATGGCTCGGCAGTTAAGAGAGCTGGACTGCTCATTCAGAGGACCCAGGTTTGATTTCCAGCACACCCAGCTGCTAACAATCATCTGTAACTCCCACTCCAGGGGATTCGGTGCCCTCTTCTTGCCTCCAAAGGCACTGTGCATACACGTTGTGTGGAGACATATACAAACAAAACACCCATAACACACCTAAAACAAACAAACAAAAATCCTGAACTCTAAGTCGTGTAACAACTTGAGGACATTAGAAAAATTCATATTAAATTTCCATTCTTGCTAGGCAGTGGTGGCACATGCCTTAATCCCAGCACTCAGGAAGCAGAGTTTGAGGGCAGCCTGGTCTACAGAGCGAGTTCCAGGACTAGTTCCACATTACTGGGAAACCCTGTCTCGAAAAAACAAACAAGCAAACAAATAAAAAGTTTCCATTTTATATCTCCTTTCCACACTTCCCATCTTACATGACTTCTGCATCCTTCCTATTAGCTATGTTCCCTGGAGAGCTCTGATTTACCTCCCTCTGTGGTGAGGTAGTATCCAGATGTTACAAGGCATCCAAGCTTCCCAGTCTACTAGCGAACCTGCTTCCCCTCTTTCTACAGGCCATCTGACTATTCCATGTGACTCTTCAGACTCAGTATGGTCTTTTCATCTGACTTTTCTGACGACTTTACCTCCCAAAACAGAGCACCTAGACTGAATGACATAACTCAAGTCTTAATTCTTTATAAAAGGGAGGAGCAAGCTTTTCCAGTGGTTGTCTAAATTAGCCACACTCATCTGTTTAGCAGAATTTAAGTGATAATTCATTTCACAGCTACTGGAAGTCAATGTTTGTAACGTCTTAGCGTCATAGATCCTTTTTTAAAAAGATTTATTCTGTTGTTTTAATGGAATGCATATGTACATGTCTGTGAGTGGGTATGTGCATGTGAATGCTGGTGCCCACGGAGGCCAGAAGAAGTCAAATTCCTAGGAGATGAAGTCCCAGGTGCCTCTGTCTCACCCAACGTGGATGTTGGAAAGCAAACTTGGATCCTCTGGAAGAGCAGTGATAGATCCTTAACCACTGAGCCATCCTTCTAGCCCCAGGAATACAGATTGTCTTTGGAGAATCCAACGAAAGCGACGGCCTCTCTGCCATCAAGAAGCACACACGCTCCCTGTCCATTATTTTATCACTTTGCAGCATTTCAGCTCCCTTGCACTATTCTCTGATGTGCGGTAAGTTCACAAGGCTGGTGACCTTAGCAGAGATCAGTCTGCTGTCTTCTCCCTCTGTGCTTCGAAGAGGGGTAAAATGAGGTCTCCTGGGCCTAGACTGAATGAACACCCAATGAATACCAAGCAAAAAAAAGGCTTCAGATCCCACAAAAGCTGAGTGCTCAGGCTAAACAAAGAATAGCGTTCAGTGGCCTCCCATGCAATAAGGACTTCGCTTCTCAGTACCATTCTCTCCAGGATTAATCCCACCCTTCAGATGCTTGGTCCCTTGGGTAAAGCCACCTGACAGCCCAAGCCTTCTATCACATGATGCTCCTGGACAGAGAAGCCCACTCTTCTCTGTTCTTCCCAGCTCCATGCTACCCCAACTGTAGCCAGCTATGAAAACACACTGGTCTGACACTTGCCCAGGCCATCCTGGGTGAGGTCTGAAGCACACGGCGACTGTCCCTATATGGCAACATCTCGCCCTCTGTGAGACTGAAAGATTTCAAGTCTTAAAAATAATAACATACCTTTGGTCACAGGGAACAGATTTGCAGAGGGGAAAACAAAAACAAGCTGCTGGTTGGAAGAACTCTATTTGGGGAAAAATGTAACACTAAAACTAAAATACCTAGGACTTTCAGGCATCTTCGCTGCAGGAATTCACAGAAATGGAATCATTTTCAAGGGTGAAGGAGTGGGATTTGCTCTCTGCCTTCAATATTTACCCAGTGTGGCCATGGATGTGACTGACGCAAAGACCTTTTCCTCCCTCTGTATGAATTGTTGCAAATGTGGAAGATGGACAGAAGACATGAAGTTCCCTCCTGACAAAAAGAAGAGCTGATTTTCTCTCACATAGTAGCCCACATATGTACTTATTGGGCAAAGAGTGTCTAAGAAAGAGCGCGGCCTAACTCAGTTCTAGGGTAGAGTGTGTGGCAACATCAGCTGCAGCCCCACCCAAGGAAACCTAGAAAGAGTCAGAAAGGGAGATTAACCCTCTAGTTTCTGCACAACATGCTCTTTAACAAGCTTACGTCTATCTTGAAAGGGACATTTCTAGCTTTATTGGAAACCTGCTTTTACAAAGAAAGGGGAACCACAAAATAATACAATGCAAGCAAAATTGTACAGGCCATCAGCTAGATACTGCTGCCTCTTTCTTTGTATATGTTAAAACGTTTCCTCACTCAGCTATGACTTCACTCTTAACTGACTGTAGTTGCTGAATGATTGGTGGTAATTATTTTATTTAAGGGCATGGCCACCTTTAACCCACATCGCCATGCATGTCTCTGTGGTATGAATCCCAACTTTCTATACACCCAAAAACATATTTTCACTGACTCCTTCTAAGATAGACTCTAAGAAATAATCACCATTTCTGGTGGTTGAGTCTAGACATATAAATGATGATGACTTCCTAGACATTATCTCCAGTATCTTCTTTATACTCTACTGATTATTTTCTTTTTTTTTTTTTTTGCCATTGATTGCCCCACAATCGGGGTGTGAGCAGAATGAGAATGAACTAAGTCAAGGTTCGCAGCACCATCTAGGCCTTTCGCTGCAAAGCTCCCATAAGTGGACCACACTGTCTGAAGATACTGCTTCTGTGTCTCGGTGGTGAGTTCCTGACAAATCATTCAGTCAACACGTGTGTTGTCAGGCATGGTGTTGGGTGCTATTCAGAGAGGAGAGGTACAAAGCCAGAGCCTCCCAGCCATAACTGCTGCATGTTTACTCAGCACCAGGAGCTCTACATAGAGATTCAGATACACACTTTGCCTAAGGTCATCCAGTTGGGAGGCGACAGAGTTCATATAGAAAGCCAGGTCTGTGCATGTGCTATGCTTACAGCCTGGCAGTAACATGAGAAATTAAACTGTGGTTAGGTATTACAGAGTCCATCCTCAAAGCAAGAGCCTCTTTGTCACAGAGCAATGTCTCCACTGAAGTACTTGCTGAGAAGTTGAAGAAGAAAAGTATCTCTGCACTTACACCACATAGATCATACCCATTTTCACTGACTTGAGCCTGGTCATAGAATTCCACATACACGAGGTTACAATGTTGAAACCTGGCATTTTGTACAACTCACACATTATACATAAATACAAGTTTTAAAAAACAAGTGGGAATCCCTGATCGCGGTGCACATGACAGTTGGTCAGAGCTGGTGTGGCAGATTTCCTAAAGCAACACCTAAATACAGGCAGAGAAATCCCACTTTGGCATTGTTCTTAAACTGCAGAGGTAGCTTTAACAGACACATCATCAATCCTAATTGCTTGCTCCAACATTTGGTTTTGTTGAGATGCATTACTACTCAAATTAAATTTGGTCTCTGCTAAATTCATAAAAAGGAATTTTTTTGGAAACTTATAGGGCAAAAAAAGAATGGGGAGTGGTTTAAGGAAATGAAGTAGACCTAGATATTCCATTAAAAGTAGTTAAAAGAAGATAAATACTGTGATCTCCATTGCAGCAGAAACAGCAGATTACTCTTATTTATTCATTGTATGCGTGGCTAGGTTATTGCTGAGTATTTTTGCATTCAGCAATCATTCGAATTATGGTGAGCCAGGGATGGTGATCCAGTGAGACTCTGGATGTCACTAAAGTCTCTGCTAACTTTAACAGAAATAATTGAAGTGCTAAGGAGAAGCTTGAAGGAGCCTTGTAGACATGGCTGTGAACACATTCCACACTCGGTCTTCTTGATATCGACTCTTCAGCTCTTTAAAACAGAGGTAGACGTAGGTCAGTTAGAACACACTCGTTCAAACCAAGGAATCACGGCTATTAAAGATTCATGTTTATTACTAAGATTAAACCTTGATAAGTGGCTCAAATCCAACACAAGGAAATGCATCATATGATCAGAACTATTAACATTTTTTTCACAGTTAAAATGAGGTATTGTGGCGTCACAATATTTTAGGTTGAATCATGTGATTTAATCCAGGTCACAAGAAAGAAGAAAGAGATATAATTGAACAATTACTTCCTAAAGGGAAAGAAGCCAAGTGAAATATGTATGAAGGTGACAAACCACAAATACATTTCAGAGTATCAAGCAGCATATATGCACAATTTTATCCCTAACCTTAACATTGGTAAAACTGATTATTATTTCTTAAGTTTAGCAAACCACATGCGTTGCAGTGTAAATCAAGTAACAGAAGATAAAACACAGTCTCTATTACAGCATTTATCAGATACACGAATTATCTGAACTGACCAAGACTTATTTTTACTATGACAATTTCTGTGATTTTAAATTACTGATCAGGAGGGGCTAAGTATTACAGTTGGTATACTCACAATACAAATAATGCATACACAACCTGCAGTTAATACTTATGAATACTGACTGGGGTAATAATTAGTAGCAGCAAGGTAATATTATTTCTAAAATATGATCTAAGATTGATCATCTTGATACTATAGGTCAATAGCTGACACGTCCTTAGTGCTATGAACTGAAAACAGGTGTGACATTGCAACTGTACAGAGCTGCCGAAGGCCTATGCGACTTTTCAAAGTGCTGTGCTTTGTAGTGGGCTTAGCACTGAGAACAAGCCTGTGCTATCTGAATTAAGTATTGGTCCCAACTTCAGGGCTCCAATTAAGCATAGTTCTATGGACTGGGTGGAAGCAGGAGGCAGAAGGATGCAATTGAGAAAGCTAAAAAACAGCTACCACTACAGTCAGAGCAAACCTTCTGTCAGCCTCTTGTGATGACGTCATTGGCAGATGATGGGAATGCTGGGAGATAGGAGGAAGTAGCACTCTATGAAGGGAATGCGGAAGAGTGACAGAAAATGCCTCTAGACTGGTGATGCAGTTGTCTTAACAGCCATGCTTCTGAATTTCCCCAGAGAATGTAGGGAAGTGGTTTATTCAAACCATTTTGTTTTAAAATGGGTTTGATAAATCCTAAGAACAAGTTTGCCAGAGTGGATGCTAAAACACATTATCTAAAGCAAAATATCCTTATCTCAGAATATTTTTAACAGTTTCTAAAACTTTGCTCTTTTTTTAAAAAAAAAAATCATTAGTATCACTGTAGGGTTGTTTCCGAGTTAGGATAGCTCAGACATATGGCCATTAGTGCCAGGGTTTGTAGCAGGAAGTTGGGGAATTCAAAGGTTGTGGAAATAGGAGGTCTCCTGGGGCAGTAAAGAGCTGATTAGAACCATCTGGAATTAAGGGGAAGTTTATGTCAATACTTCTTGTTATTCATTCAGTTCACTCTCCTGTGTCCCAAGGTGACACTATTGTGTCATGAAACCAGGGTACCACCTACAGGAAGCATCTGCGGATGAAGGTTAAGATGTACTAGAAGATGATGGGATTTAGAGGGACATCCATGCTCTTCTATGCTGTACCAAACGAACTTCCTGTCAGCTCTGATGTCTGATATCCTCAGTGTCTATTGATTCCTGCTGACATGTTGAGAAAGCCCACCTCTCAGGGGCCAACATACATTTTGGCATATTTCTTTGAGCCCCACACATTATTCAGACTCTAGAAAGTATAATACATAGTCAAGTTCAATCAGGCTGTACCACACTCTTGGACAATGACCCCAACCATATTCTCTGCACATGTGTACAGAGGGAAGAATCATTGCAAAGGTACAGCCCAGAGTGCAAGGCATCTAAGCCCTAGGACCTTATATACATCATGAACTAATCAACTGAGATTGGCAACATTACTAAAGATGAAAGAACCAAGGACAGGTTAGCCTCGGGTCAGTTGCTCAGCTAAGGGAAGAGACCACGTGACTGTGACCCTTTCATTCTTCTGTTCTGCTTCCCAGAACTTAATAGGCAGTCATGTACATCATAAAACATCTGTAATGACGTCACTTTGTAGCCCTTTTGCTTTTCAGAGAAAAGCAGCAACCTTTCGTACCTTTCACTGTGTGCTAATGACTGGGTTGTATCACGTTTCTTTGGGATTACTTCCTACTGGTAAGACTGAAAACAACCCACATGGCTGTCCCGACACACCAGAAAGCTCCATGTCACCTCAGAATGCTGCAATGTGCATTTCCTTGCTTTCGTGGAAAGAAACATAAATTTTCAGATGTGAACATGAAGTTATGAAAGGCCTGAGATTCTTAAGGTTTGTCATTGACCCTGCTCAGATCTTGTGCTTTTCTTTGCATGTAAATAAAATCCTGGATTTGAATTCTAGATCAACTGTTCTAAAAAAAAAATCAGGGGTTTAGACCTGGCAATAAAGGAAATGATGCATATCAAATATCAAGCAGCAAATACAAGGAATTTTTTTTTTGCATGACTTCTAAGACTGCCATGATATCAGACCACATCCTCAACACCCGTCAGTTCCTTCCATCTGGTCCACCCTGAGCTGTCTGATCAGTCCTGAGAACGTTGTCTCTATCCATAACATACATGGAACTTTCAATAGGTTTAGGCTTTGAGACAGTTTCACGCCACAGAAACCTAAAAAGGTCTGGGCCATGAAGGAAATATGGCTGTGTTGGTGCGGAGAACCAGATAGGAATGGGCCCAGATTCTAAGTTAGTAAACCAGCATTCTAGTTGCTCTTGAAATCGACTCTGAATCATTTTGAGAGCCTTATTTTGATCTGAATGATTCCCAGGATTTTCAAGAACGCGTCATATGTTTGGGTCAGAATTCTTACTGGTAATTATTGCAGAATAAGACATGGGGCCTATATTCTGTTGCTATTCTGTCCAGCTCACCCGAGTTTCTGCTTGGTCGTCAAGGAACAGAATACATGCCACAGCCTTTACAGCATATAAGAAGCTTTTGTCTCAGGGCAGAGATTGGAGTACTTCCTAGGGAAGATTGTGAATAAGCCTCTCCCTGCTACCTCTCAGACTTTACCATATCAACAAGGCTGAGCCCCTAAAGCAGTGTGGAAGAGCTTGGATGTGCACTCACTACAGGAGCAGGAGGCCTGTGCACGTGGCCTTGGAAGTGTGCTGTGTTTCTGTGTTATGCATGCAAACACGGAGGTGCACGTGGACGTCAGAAGTGAAGTACAACTATCTATGTCAGAACCGAGACAATGGATGAAGTAAAAAATTCACTGAACAGTCGACAGCCTTAAAGTGAAACACAAATCCAGGGCAGATACCTGCTATCACACCGAGCCACATAGCACCAAGCACCTGGGCAAAGCTGAGGCTCCGATTACACAGAGCAGAATGCCTCTTCTTTTTGTCTTCGTATCTCTTTGCCAAGTAACAAAGGGTTAACAGATGGAGAATGATCTAGTCCCTGGTAAAGAATTGAGAATTCGAACCAAACCAAACAAACAAAATGCAATAATTAAAAACAAAACTAAAAGCCAAGGTTTTCAGAGCTTCTCCGAGGGGCTCAGTATCATAATTGGAGGAAAATTAAGATAATGAGGGTACACACTTCAATGCCAATAAAGAAGCTCCGTGCAGAGAAGAAGGCTCCATCAAATTTGACAAGATCATTCCGGAAACCTCCTCTGGGAGGGATTAGTATGCAAGAACAGGAGAAGTTAAAGCAGGTATTCCCAGAGGTGTTTGTGCTGTGGCCTCCATGAACTACGGAGATTAAAAAGTCAAGGCCTAAATTACTTTAGGAAGAAAAAAAGGCCAGATGATCAGCAGTGAGGGGCATGCGTGTGTTTTCAATAGCTCACCCAAGATTACCCCCACTAGAGCCAGCATGCACGTCTGACTAGGAAACCGAAGGAGAGATAGGAGAACTTCTCGGAGAGGGTCCAGCAGTCTCTCCACTCAGGATTGCCTCTTTATAGTCCTCCTTAGGAGCTGGGAATCGGACACCTTCTCAGGGATTCTCAGATAGGGCTGAGGGGTACCAAAACATGCTCATGCTTCTTCTAGGCTGTTATTCCTAGCCAATGCTCTACAGAAATGCCTGTGTAGTTTGTCATGACCCTTTCACCTCTGTCCCGGTCTACATCTATGCTTTTGGCAGTGGTTTCCTGGATCACATCCACACCTATACACCACCCTTATCAAGATGGGGGTGGGGTAGGACATCTACAGCAAAGAACAAGGTCATTCACAGCCCTGAGGTGCACCAACCAGTGCACGGGTGGAAGACCACAGCAGCATCCGTCCTGGGTAGGAAAAGTCCAGTAAACATCTATGTGAGTGCTCTTGAGGCAGTAAGCACTGCAGATACTTACTCTATGAATAAATAATGAATAAATACAGGTACAAAGCAAAGGAAACGAAAGAGGTCTCTTATCAATAAAAAAACACACCACTTATCAATTAAAAAAAAACTTTTCTCTTGAGTTTCCAAGCTCTCATGCAGTGCTGCTTGGTTGGCAGAACAATCCACAGGAAAAAGATCAAACGGAAAAACAGGTGGAAATGTTCCAGCATTGCTTTTCTTTCTCACTTGACGATATACAAGTCACCCTAAATGTCCCCGAGGTAGTCTTGTTTGCAAGGAGTTGCAGATTAATTCCAAACGCACTTGGAGCTTGCTCCTGTAATGCATTGCACGGTCCCACACGTCCTGTGTCAGCCTCCATTGTGTAACGAACAATCAGACTTCTGCTTAGCATTGTGACCCGCAGCAGATCAGGCTCCAGGCAGACCACCATAAAATGGGATTCTGGTATCTGCGTGAAGACCTCATACAAATAGGACAGTGCCAAAATGATGCAGGTGCTTGCCTGATAGTCATTTGGGGAGAGAGCTACAAGATTAAATCAAAGAATTCTGGCATGCAACACACATGCATGCTTAGCTCTTATTCGGCCCTCGCACAAAAGATTCCCTACCACCGTTCCTTTCATTTTAAAAGAAAAGGAAATGGGAAAAGGGCCCAAAAGGAAATGAAAGGAACCAATACTTTCAGATAGGGAAACACATTTCTGATGCCAACCAAGGGTAGTGTGTACTTTTTACATGAAGAATTAAGGGAACCACTTCCAGAGCCAGCCTGTGGCTGAAGAGTGCCATTATAAACACATCTTGCTCCCATAGAGAAGTGGTGATATTGTACAGTTCAAGAGAGGGCCCAGTGCTTGTCTCCCTAGGAGCCCCTCAGAGTTCTAGGTTAATGACAAAGACCTCCCAGAGGGTGGTCCGTGCCTGTATGTGCCATTGCCATTCTTCTGGCCAGGAATGCCTTTCCAATGTAGCCTTCACACAGGCGCAAATGCCCACAGAAGATAACAGGAAGTTGGGACGATTAGATTAGGATGTTGCATAGCTCATGGAACCTAGAAACCATACTTCCTTTTTCCATTTGTGACCAAAAGCCACTAGGTAGGTCCTGACCTTGGCCATATAAAATACGTGCTCTTCCCTTAGACTTAAGTTTTTAAAAGTCTCATTTGGGGAAATGCATGAAAATCCCGGGAGTTCTATCCAAATGGCTCTGTGAGGAAAGGTGGGGAGGACCCTCTTTCTCTTCCTCACTTCACCATGACTGCCTGGGAGTGAGCCATCCTAACTGGAACCCTCTAGAATCCTACCTTAGATCAACAATCTCAACATGAAATTAAACATAGCATTAATTCAACACTTAGTCAGAGCTTGGTCCTCTAGAAGGTCATTCAGTTCAATCACAGTTGTGGCAAAGTCCACCAGGTCCACGAAGTCAGATGTGATGATGTTGACACCCATGGCTCCAGGCTTTTGAGTCTTCACCCAGTCAAGGATGGCAGGGAGATTCCTACATGGAAGATGCATTGGGTGAAAAGAAAACAGACAGAGTTAGTAGTGGTTAGACAACTCCAGAAATGGAAATAAAATGTTTGTTTTTCTTACTACAGGAAGTATAACAGAAACACACAACTCCCTGGGGTGAGACTCACATAAGCCTTATAGTCCCATGGATATGGATATGGAGTTATCATCCCACCTGAGAACTTATCTTTCCAAGGTTTCTCTTATGCAAGAAACTATGTGCTCACAGATCCAAAAGACAGCCAGAATGACAGGATTTCACAACACCAAGTCCAACAGTCCTCTCGTTGTTAGGTTTTTAGAATTCCTCATGAAAAATCTCAAATATATGGCAAACTGATAGAACTGTTGTGGTAAGTGGATCTACCCTGTCTTTTACCACTAATATGTTACTATTTTGCTTGTTACATATCTATTCATGCATCACTATCTTCCTGTCAATGTTGCTTCTATTTTTGACATACTCCACGTAGAAACATATAAAACCCTTACATCGGTCAGTGTGCATGTGATTAATTGCATTTTTCTTATAGTTCCATATATTATCCCATTGTATGACTACAACATAGCTTACCCATGTTCTTATTGTTAGATACACCAGTTGTTTTCGATTTTGGGTCATTATGAATAAACTATTATGGGCATTCTTCTATGAGTCTTTTTATGGGTATCATTTTATTTTTCTTGGATAAAAATCATGGGACAAAACTGGCCTGTGAGAGGGTTTAATTATATTTAGTTTTATAAGAAACTGCCAGTCCCACCAACAGAGAAGAAAAGCTCTGGACAGTTAATATTATCCCGAAAAATTGGTCTCTCTAGTGTTTTGAAGTCTCATTATTCTAAATAAAGTATGGGGACTCGTACCTGTAATCCAAGCACATGGAAGGTTGAAGCAGGAGGTCTAACGGCCACTGTGTACCTTCTTTATACAAGTACCTATCCAACACTTTGATAATTTTTTCCATTTAATTTTCATATATTCTTTTTGTATTTTCATTTGTTCTCTAGACTTTCATGCAATGTGTTTTGATAGTATTTGCCCTTTGTTCTTTTAAATGTTGAGTTTTAGAAATTATGTTTACATTCTAAATACTACTGTTTTGTACGAAATATTTTGCAAATATTTCTTCTATCCTGTAACTTGCCTTTAACTTTCTCAATGAAATATTTTGATTGGATTGAATTCCTTAATTTTTTATGGAGTGTAATTTGTTAATCATTTTTTCTTTCTCTTAAAAAAATTGATGTGGTCCTTTGAACCCTATAATCTACAAGCCCCACTCTGACTCCAAACCCACCATCACCTGTGACCTCAGTGCTCACTGAGATACAGACTGCTACTGCACAGAAAAGACCAAGATGTGAGTGACTAGCCCCCCCCCCAGTCTCTAGGCTTTGTAGGCCCTTGGGCAAAACCCCAGGCCCTTCTCCCACCCACCTCGCCTGTACTAGCTAGCTGGTCATCTGGCAAGCCTCCTGCAGACAGGCTGCTCCAGCACCACCCCATCAGACCCTGTAATCTACAAGTTCCTCTCTGCCCCCAAACCCACCCATTCCCTGAGAACTCATTTGCTCTCTGAGACACAAAGACTGCACAGAACAGACCAAGAGCAGCTCCTGAGAGACAGACAGCTGCAACCCTCAGTCCAAGAGAGGATACCTAAGACACAGACACCAATTGCAAGGATTAGACCAAAAGGCAAAGACATTGCCTGTACTGATTAGAAGAACAGATGGGTCGGTACCAATGCAAGAACATACTCAATAACCTCCAGAACAAAATGGCAACACCAGAACCTAGTCGTCCTACAACAGCAAGACCTGAACATTCTAATCCAGAAGCAGGAAAAAGCAACTTTAAATATAACTTTATGAAGATGATAGAGACCCTTAAAGAGGAAATGAAAAGCTCTCTTAAGGAAATGGAAGAAAATAAAAAAATGGAAGAAATCAATAAATCTCTTAAAGAAAGCCAAAAAACTAAGATAAAAACAATCGGTAGAGCATGAGACTCTTAATCTCAGGTCCGTGGGTTCGAGCCCCATGTTGGGCACCATTCTGTTGAAGGAGCTACAGGCTGTGTTCCACCGCCCGGCTTCTGGCCACCGGCTAGCTTTATACCTGAAATAATAACACACAAACTGTATTCATATAAACACTGCTTGGCCCATTTCTATTAATGTGTGTAACACCATGAGGTGGTAACTTACCAGGGAGATTCTAGCCTACGTCCATCTTGGGTGGGAGCTTCTTCGCATCTGCCCCAGAGAGGAGCGGCATAGCATCTAAGCTTACTTCTTCTTCCTCCCAGCATTCTTTTCTGTTTACTCCACCCACCTATGTTCTAACCTATCAGACCAAGCAGTTTCTTTATTAATTAACCAATGAAAGCAACGGATATATGACACTCCCACATCAGAAATGGATATTTTTCTGAGTAAGTACCAAATACCAAAATTAAACCAAGACCAGATAAATAATTTAAATAGACCTATCACCCCTAAGGAAATAAAGGCAGTCATTAAAAGTCTTCTAAAAACAAACAAACAAACAAACAAACAAAATCCCAGGGACATATGGTTTCAGAATTCTACCTACCAAAACTTTAAAGAAGAATTAATACCTATACTCCTCAAATTGTTTCAAACAATAGGAATAGAAGGAACATTGCCAAACTCCTTTTACTAAGCCACAGTCACTCTGATACTCAGACTACACAAAGACTCAACTAAGAAAGAGAATTACAGACTGATCTCATAAACATTGATGTAAAAATACTCAATAAACCATGCTTGTAAATCAAATATAAGAACGTATCAAAAAAAATCCACCATAATCAAGTTGGCTTCATCCCAGAGAGTCGGGGATGGTTCAGCACACAAAAATCTGTCAATGCAATCAACCATATAAATAAACTGAAAGAAAAAAAAAAAACCCACATGATCATCTCTTTAGAGCCTGAAAAAGCCTTAGTCAAAATCCAACAAAGGCCTTGGGGAGATCAGGAATACAAGGAACATATCTAAATATAATAAAAAGCAACATAAAGCCAGCCAACAGCCAACATCAAATTAAATGGAGAGAAACTCAAAGCTATTCCACTAAAATCGGCAACGAGACAAGGCTGTCTACTCTCCATATTTATTTAATATAGCACCCAAAGTTCTAGCTAGAGCAATAAGACAACAAAAGTAGATCAAGGGGCTACAAATTGGAAAGGAAGAAGTCAAACTTTCACTATTTGTAGATGAAATGATAGTGTACATTAGTGGCCCCAAAAATTCTATTAGGGGACTCCTACAGCTGATAAACACCTTCAGTAATGTGGCTGCATACAAGATTAACTCAAGAAAAAAAGAAGAAAGAAAGAAAAAAAGAAAGAAATCATAAATCCTCTTATACACAAATGAAAATTATACTGAGAAAAATATCATAGAAATATCACCCTTTACAATAGCCACAAATAATATAAAGTATCTTGGGATAACACTAACCAAAGAAGTGAAAGACCTGCATGAAAAGAATTTTAAGCCTTTGAAGAAAAAAACTAAAGAAGATATCAGAAAATTGAAAGATCTCCCATGTTCCTGGATAGGTAGGATCAACATAATAAAAATGGCAATCTTACCAAAAGCAATCCACAGATTCAATGCAATGCCCATCAAAATTCCAACACAAATTTTTCACAGACCTTGAAAGAGCAATTATCAACTTCATATGGAAAAACAAAAAAACCTAGGATAATCAAAACAATCCTGTACAATAAAGGAACTTCTGTAGGCATCATCATCCTTGACATCAAATTCTATTATAGAGCTACAGTAATAAAAACAGCTTGGTATTGACATAAAAACAGACAGGAGAACCAATGGAATCAAACCGAAGACCCTGATATTAATCCATACACCTATGAACATCTGATTTTTGACAAAGAAGCTAGAATTATATAATGAAAAAAAGAAAGCATCTTTAACAAATTGTGCTGGCATAATTGGATGTCAACTCGTAGAAGAATGAAAATAGATCCATATCTATCACCATGCACAAAACTCAAGTCCAAATGGATCAAAGACCTCAACATAAAGCCAGCCACACTGAACTCATAGAAGAGAATGTGAAAAGTAGCCTTGAATGCATGGGCACAGGAGACAACTTCCTAAATATAACACTAGCAGCACAGACACTTAGAGCAACAACTAATAAATGGGACCTCCTGAAACTGAGAAGCTTCTGTAAGGCAAAGAACATGGTTAACAAGACATGAATGGGAAAAGATCTTCACCAGCCCCACATCCGACAGAAGACTGATTTTCAAAACACATAAAGAACTTAAGAAACTAGACATCAAAATACTAGATAATCCAATTTAAAAATGGGGTACAGATTTAAACAGAGAATTCTCAACAGAAGAATCTAAAATGGCCAGAAGACACTTAAGGAAATGTTCAACATTTCCATCAGGGAAATGCAAATCAATACAACTCTGAGATACCATCTTATACCTGTCAGAATGGCTAAGATCAAAAACACTGATGATAGCTTATGCTAGAGAGGATTTGGAGTAAGGGAAACACTCCTCTATTGCTGGTGGGAATGAAGACTTGTACATCTACCGTGGAAATAAGTATGACAATTTCTCAGATAGTTTGCAATCAATCTACTTTAAGACCCAGCAATACTACTCTTGGGCATATACCCAAAGGATGCTCAATTATACTACATGGACATTTGTTCGGCTATGTTCACAGCAGCATTATGTGTAAAAGCCAGAACCTGGAAACAAGCTAGATGTCTCTCAACCGAAGAATGGATTTTTCAAAAAATGTGGTACATTTATACAACGGAATACTTACTTAGCAGTAAAAAATAATTACATCTTGAAATTTGCAGGCAAATGGATGGAACTAAAAAAAAAAAACATCCTGACAGGGAACCAAGACTAAAAAGACAAAGACGACATGTACTCCTTCAGAAGTGAATATT